AGCGTGGACGCGAGATGAGGTGCAGCGGCCGCTAGGCACTCCAGCTCAAACTGCCTGTCCTCAAGGACGTCACAGCCAAGGGCAAGCTCACCCCCGACGGACGGAAAACAGGAAGAGTAAAAAACAAGACTCGCAGCGTAGTCAAGGCGGCACAGAGCAGCAAAGTCAACTAGCTCAGCGACTAAGGCAGACGCAGCAGGCGACGAAAGCATAGGGTCTGTCACAGATGTGGCAAGGAGACGAGTGACAGTCGGACTAGCAGCACGAGCAAGGTCAGACTCAGGGTCAGGGACGTGAGGAAGAGAAGACGCAGGAGGCGACGGCAGGACAACACGCTGTGGAACAGAGGAAGGACGAAGTGCCATAATGTGAGTGCCTGGGACAGGTGGAGGGCGAGTACGAGGAGCACGACGAGGACGAACAGGCATGACGGGACGCGACGCAGGCTCTCTACTCTCAGCCAGGGACTTTGTCACCTCAGTGTAAGGAGCAGGAGCAGGTAGCGGGGAGTCAGGCAGTAACAGTGGCTGAGACGGGTCAGGCGGTGGAAACAGTAACGGATGAGTAGTACCAGCAACGAGGAACTCAGTAACAGCAGGCGGGAGACTGAGAAGGTGGCGAAGCGCAGACGGCTGCTGCTGAGTAGTCGCACCCCCAGAACCTCCAGGCCCAGGACGAGACTCTCCAGCACTAGTACCGACAGTATCAGTAGGAACAGCACCCCCAACACCAGCACCTCCAGTACCTCCAGAAGTCGCACCTCCAGCACCAGTAGCACCAGTGCCTCCAGCACCACCAACTCGAGTACCTCCAGCACCAGCACCTCCAGCGTCAGTACCTCGAGCACCAGCACCTCCAGCACCAGCACCTCCAGCACCTCCATCTCCACTACCACCAGCACCAGCACCTACAGCTCCAGTAGCTCCAGCTCCAGCACGTCCAGCTCCGCCACCGGGGCTGCCCCACCGGACAGCCCACTCACGAAGCCGCTCCGGCGAGAGAGTCTCCTGTCGACGTGCACCAGTACCTCCAGCACTAGCGCCTCCAGCACCAGTAACTCCAGCACGGCCAACTCCAGTAACACCAGCACTAGCCCCTCCAGGTCAAGTACCTCCAGCACCTCCATCTGCAGCACCTCCAGCTCCAGCACGTCTAGCTCTGCCACCGGGGCTGCCCCACCGGACAGCCCACTCGCGAAACCGCTCCGGCAAGAGAGTCTCCTGCTGACGTGCACCAGTACCACCAGCACCAGCAACCGCAGCACCCCCAGTAGCAGCACCTCCAGCACCTCCTGTACCCGTAGGACACTCAGCACCCCCAGAGCCAGCACCCCCAGAGGCCGCACCCCCAGTGTCACCACCTCCAGCAGCACCAGAGTCCACAGCGACGGGCTGCAGAGGCGGTGAAGACGGTCGAGGCGGAAACCCAGGAGGGGCTGCCAAGCGCGCGAAGCGGCGAGGGGCCACGGTGTCGGCAGCAGTCGGGTCACCCCCCTCAGCTGGGCCAGAGGTGTCAGAGGAGACCTCCAAAGGCTCAACCAAGGGGGGTGGGTCTACCTGAGACACACCTGAGGGAGCAGGACCGGGAGGAGGGAGGGGGGGCTACCGGGGGGGGTCGACAACCAGGGAGAGAGGCGGGAGGGGTACCGGGGAACTGCGGTGGGGGTGAAGACGGTAGAAGCAGACTGGCTCGTCAAAAGTGACGTCGCGGGAGGACAGCACACGATGAGAGCCCGGGTGGTAAAACTGCCAGGGCGGTGCGTCGGTGGGAAAGCCAAGGAACACGCACCGAAGAGTGCGCGGAGAGAGCTTGCCCGCGGGCAGATTGCGGACAAGAGAGAGGGAACCCCAGACCCGAAACTCCGACACATCACCAACCTCTCCCGTCCACCGCAGAGTAGGTGAGGTCTCCGGGTGGGAGAGACGGGGCCAGAGGTTGAGCTGGTGCGCGGCGTATCGGACCGCAAACGGCCACAGAAAATGGGGAGCTGCCGCATGGATCATAGAGGTGCGAGCAACCTCCATGACCAAGCCAATGCGGCGCTCTGCAATCCCATTCTGCTGTGGAGAGGCCGGAAGCGTGAACGACTGGGTGATGCCCTCAGCACCACAGAAGTCCTCGAGGAGGCGGGAGGAAAACCCACCACCTCGGTCAGAGTGCAGCCGCAGGACCGGGAGGTCCTGCTGGAACCGAGCGCGAAGCTGGAGACGGGCAGCGCGGGTCCAGCGGATCAAGACACTGCGGACATCCGCCTTGCTCTGCAAGGGGAAGACCGTGGTGTAGCGCGTGTAGTCGTCAACAACCAGCAGAAAGTAGCGCTCCCCGCCCTGTCCAGTGACGCGGGCGGGGCCCCACACGTCCATGTGGAAGGTCTGCAGAGGAGCAGTGGTAGGAGGAAATGAGGAGTGAGGAGCGGCGCGCTGCCGCCCCTCGACGCAGGGAAGGCACGGCGGTGCAAGCGACTTCGGGAGCGGGGGCAGGGACATGGGGAGGCCGGACACACGGAGACGGGAGTGCATGCCACGCAGGCGTGGCAAGGAGGGGTGACCAAGACGGTGGAGCCAGAGGAGAGTCAGGTGCGTGAGGAGACGACACAAACAAGACGCAGCTACCTCAACCGACGCAGCTACCTGACCCGACTCAGCCACCTGTGCAGACTCAGTGGTCAGTATGTACAGACCAGACCCGGGCCTCCGAGTGAACATGGCGAGGTGCTCGCCAGTGCGAAAGTCCATACAGATTGCCACGAGCTCTCCCCCAGGCTGGGTAACAGTGACCAACTGGTCATGTAGGATAGCTGTAGACCTGTGAGGGAACTGGAGGGGACTGCTGGACACGGGAGAACAGTGGAGCTACGTGCAACAACTGGGCCACCAGAGGGGTCGGCCAGAGTGACAGGGACAGGGGCTATGAGCGGTGTGACTGTGGTGCAGTCGCGGAAGAAGCTGCGAGACGCGCCTGAGTCGAGTGGGAAAGTGTGCAAGGCCTCCTCAAGCTCTGCACCTGTACTAGCTCAGTCACAAGCACCTAGACTAGCAGCCTCTACACCACCAGGTGCCTCTACACCCCCAGCACTAGTACCTCCAGCTCCACCACCGGGGCTGCCCCACCGGACAGCCCACTCATGAAGCTGCTGCGGCGAGAGGGTCTCCGGCGGACGCTGCTGCCGCTGCTGTCCACCCCCAGAACCTCCGCGGCCACCAGCGGCACCACCAGCAGGAGTAGACGTACATGTACCTACACGCGCCTCCTCGACCAGCTGCTGTACCTCCCCTAACAACGGACGGCTCTGCCGCAGTGGCCGGGTGGCAGGAGAGAGTGAGGTTTAGTGCCTAACCACAACGTCGTAGAAAGTGTGGGCCGACGTCACCTGACGAAAGTGGGTCCTCTGGTCGACCGGCAGGTGAGCGCGAACAGCAAGCTCTGCGACAGTGTCGCGCTCCGTCCACTTTGTGCAGGCAACGCAGTCCGCCCGGTACCGCCGCCGCACGGTCTCGCCAGCGTCAGCAGCAGGCTCAGCGGGAGTCGTGGGGGCCTGAAGGGACCCCGACGTGTGCTCGAGCAGGGAGACACCATCTCTAAGGAAACGCCGGAGATACCGGTGCAGACAAGCGAGCCAGAACTCGAACATGAAAGGGCGCCCTTCGGCGTCAACCGCTAGGACAATGAGAGTGGCCATGGCAGGCAGTGGCAGTAGTAGTAGGAGTGGTGGCGCCTGTAGGACTAAGGCGTGCTAAGGGCGCTCGACGGGCTACTGGAGGGGCGCACTCTAGGGACGTGCCACGGGTAGAAAAACGGGCAGCACTAGGAGGCGCACTAAGGGCAGAAAACGGCCGCGCCCTAAGCTGCAGGGCGCACGGGCTGCAGGGCGCACGGGCTGCAGGGCGCACGGGCTGCAGGGCGCACGGGCTGCAGGGCGCACGGGCTGCAGGGCGCGTGAGCTGCAGGGCAGGGCAGCATGCGGGCTGAAGGGCAGGGCGGCGCGCGGGCTGCAGGGCAGGGCGGCGCGCGGGCTGCAGGGCGGCGCGCGGGCAGAGCGCGCGGGCTGCAGGGCTGCAGGGCTGCAGGGCTGCAGGGCGCACAGGCTGCAGAGCGGCGCGCGGGCTGCAGGGCTGCGTGGGCAGGGCGGCGCGCGGGCTGCAGGGCAGGGCAGCGCGGGCGGCGTGCGGGCAGCGCGGGCAGCGCGCGGGCAGGGCAGGGCAGCAGCGCGACAGCATACTGGGCAGGGCAGAAACGTCGGGCAGGGCAGGGCAAAAATCTACCGACGGGCAGGACGGAACGAACGGTGGGCCCTAAGAAAACCGGTCCTAGAACGGGACCTGCTCTGAAACCATGTCAGAATCTAAGTGAGAGAATGAGTGATGAGACTAGCAACAAGGGTGATACAAATGTGGAACCCTAATGGGTTGTACCCCCTAGTGAGAACCCCAAGATAGCATACAGTGATATATAACATTTGACATTGATGCCCCTCACTTAGCCTATGGGGGTGTGTCAAATAATATTTATATGTTTTGTTAGTTTGCTAGGCCACTGTGAGTTGCATAGTATAGGGTACACATATTCTCTCTACTTGTATCTCTTGTCTTGCCCTACTACTAGATGATCACTTCCGCTAGTTACTACTCTGAGAGAACACGCCTTAACAAAGCCCATTTAAACTCTACAACCACTTGCTCCAAATAATAAAGGTAGAAACTACTTATCACCTACTCACTAGGATTTGAAATGTTTGTAGCATTCCTCTACAAAAATGCAGCTGCACATTGCAATCACTTTGGGTGGCTGACAGGGTGCAGCTGTAGGGCGAGATGGGGGAGCAGAGTGCTGTGATTCCAAGTGTGCGCATTGGAGAGAACAATGAGCACACCCCTGTGGCCTCTGGGTGTGCAGTGCAAGTGCTGCCCAGCACACGTGGCTCAAGGTCTGGACGAAGCATGCACCTGTGATGTGATGGTCACCTGCTTACTGCATGTTACCAACACCGCACTTCCATCATTTCACAGCCTCTCCACTTGCTCCTCCCCCTCGCCTCCCTCTCCCTCCTCCTCTCCCTCCTCGCTCGCCTCCGACTCGCCGCTGCCCACCTCGCCATCGCTGTCGCTGTCCACGGTGGAGAGGGCGGGCGGGGCGGCGGTGAAGGTGTAGTTGCGGAACAGGGCGTCGGCGCCGTGCATGGTGGGCGTGCCGGCGGGGGAGTCGTGCACGGGCATCTGCGTCCACATCTCGTCAAAGTTGGCCGTGCACCGCTTGCCGCCCGTCACCGTGGGGCGGAACAGCGGCACCACCTCGCGCGCCTCCAGGCGCCCCCAGTGCACCCCGCGGAACCACTTGTGCGCCCGGATCTCCTCCACCCCCTGCGCCCCACTGCCCAGCCGCTTCGCTGGGTCCTTCTGCAGCAGCTGGCAGGAGGGGCACGGAGGGCGGGTGAGGCATGGGAGGGAATCGAAATCGATTGTGGGGGTTAGTTCCTGACAGCACACTGAAGCGCGCGGGGCACTGCAGACGCCAACGTGTTAGCAACAAGTGCTCATACAACAGAAGCCGTGCAAGCCACGAGCCTTGCACCTAACTGCTTTTGCACCTGCCCCCTCCACCTAACCTCACAGAGCCTTCTTTTGAACGTACCCCTCCATCCTCCCCTCTCAGCACTAACCCTCTCATCTCATCCCATCGTCCTCGCTACCCCCTCCCCCCTCGTCTCTCGGAGCACTGGAGAAACGAAGCCCTCTCTACTACTCACCCCACGCAGCAGAGAGTGTGCCTCGCTGGTGAGGTACTGCGGCAGCTTCACCTTCTCCTTCACGATGCGCTGCTGCAGCTTCTGCCTATTGCCGCATGAAAACGGCGGCTGCGGGGCACACAGGGGCGAGAGGGCCACACATGATAGAGAGGCACAGGAGAGGTTGAATACCCAGGAGAGAAGAGCAGACTGAAAGGGGGGCGCATTGGGCGGGGAGGGGATTACAAAGGCAAGTAGATGGGAAGAGGGAGAGCAGTGAGTGACCTGCCGAGAACCAGCGGTGCGAGGGAGAGTGAGGGGGTGCAGGCAGGCATGTAGGCCGTGGGGTTGCTATGGCACATGCAACGCAGCATGGCCACGCAAGCCCACTCGTCTCACCTGCCCAGTGAGCATCTCGAAGAGCAGCACGCCGATGCTCCACCAGTCAGCGGGGAAGCCATGGCCGTGAGCCTGGATGATCTCAGGCGCCATGTACTCCATCGTGCCGCACAGCGAGTTGCTCCGCGCATCACTCTCCCGCACCTCCTTCGCCAACCCAAAGTCCGTCAGCTTGATCTGCCAGCCACAGCCACACCCAGGGGGGGCAGGGGGGGAGTGGGCGAGGGGGCGAGGGGGGGAGGGGACGAAGGGAGGCGTGTCAAGCAGAGGGGCAAATCAGGAAGGAAGGAGGTGGAACAGCACGCCTTGGGAGGTGGAACAGCACGCCTTGGGAGGTGGAACAGCACGCCTTGGGAGGTGGAACAGCACGCCTTGGGAGGCGGTTGAGAGGAAAGCGGACAACAAATAAGGGGCACACTCTCCCTCGCCCCTGCCCCCTCCGTGCGCGAGCAGCGTTAGCGACTGACATGGCCATCGGAGTCGAGGAGGATGTTCTCGGGCTTGAGGTCGCGGTGCATGATGCCGCGTGCGTGCAGGTGCCCCACCGCCAGCACCAGCTCCGCCGTGTAGATGCGCGCCAAGTCCTCACTGCCATGCATAGCGCGTGGGGGGGGGAGAGAGGGTGGGAGGGGATGCAGGGAAGAGGAGGGGTAGGGGTTGGGCGCATGTAATGTTATTCAATGGCGCGTTCAAGAGAAGCACACGTCATACTGCGCTGCCCACCTACCTCACACTGCACCTCGGGACGAGACAGCATCATACCTGAAGGTGACGTGGCGGTACCTGAAGGTGCCGTGGCGGTACGTGAAGGTGACGTGGCGGTACCTGAAGGTGCCGTGGCGGTACCTGAAGGTGACGTGGCGGTACCTGAAGGTGACGTGGCGGTACCTGAAGGTGACGTGGCGGTACCTGAAGGTGCCGTGGCGGTAGAGCTGGAAGAAGAGGTGTCCGCCGTTGATGAAGTCCAGAATCAGATACAGCTTGGCACTCGTCTGCGGGGCGGGCAGGGGGCGGGAGGGGGAGGGGAGGGCGCGGACGGGGAAGGGAAGAGGGGAATCGCGCGTCACGCACACTGGCAGCGCCTGGCCGTATCACACACATGACGGGTTTGGGGTTTGGGGTATACGAGGGCTATGGCGAGCGAGATGGGTGAGGGGCGGACAGGCTGTTGCTGGCACGGAGAGGCGACAGGAGGGGGGGTGCATGCACCGCGGGCGGCATGTGAAAGGGGAGGGCGTAGCTGAAAGGGGAGGGCGGCATGTGAAGGGGAGGGCGAGGCGGACCTGGAAGGAGTACTGCAGCTGCACGACGAAGGGGTGGACGACCTTGGTGAGGATCTCGCGCTCCGCCTGCATGTAGTCGCGCTGGTTGCGCTCCAGGATGCGCTGCTTCTTCATCACCTTCATCGCGAATATCTCGCCCGTCCACCGGTGCTGCACCTGCGCTCGTCGGTCGTCGAGGGGGGAGGGTGGGAGAAGGGTTTACGGGAGGGTTGTAAAGGGTCGTGCGAGGAACGTGACGCGAGCGCCGCCTTGCGGCGTGCCAAACTACAGTTGCGGGGTGGAGGAGGGGGGTGGGAGCGGGGGCCACGGGGGGGACGACAGTTGCCTCAAGCGCGCAATCGCGCGTCACGGCGCCACTGTGCGCCGCACCTGGAAGACCTTTCCTCGCCGCACCTGGAAGACCTTTCCTCGCCGCACCTGGAAGACCTTTCCTCGCCGCACCTGGAAGACCTTTCCTCGCCGCACCTGGAAGACCTTGCCGAAGGCGCCCTGCCCCACCACTCGCAGCAGCTCGAAGTCTTCCGGCCCCACCTTGTCCGCCTTCTCCGCCGCTCCCCCCTCCTCCCTCGCCTCCATCGCGACACTCGCATCACTGTCCCGACCGCCCTCCGCTCCTGTTCCTGATACGGCCGCTGCCCCCTCTCTCCCATCCGCCGCCATCCCAGCATCTAGCATCGCACGTGCGACGGCCTTCTTCGGCGACTCCATCGATCGCACGCACGGCGACGTTCCCAGCAACGACGGTCGCGCGCTGTCGGGTTCGTCAAGCGACGCGCGGCGGCTGCTGGATCGCGCGACGCTCTGCCGCGGCGTGATGGGCGCGGGTCCAACGAGCGAGTGCGAGCGGTGCGTGATCACCTCCGGGGGCTCCTCGCCCGCCATGCCCGCCGCGCGATCCGCGAGCTGCTCGTCGGCCATCCAGCTCGCCAGGTCGTCCTCGTCCATCTCCGCCACCGTGCGCAGATTGCGACCGCTCGCCGTCGCCAGGCGACCGGACGACGCGTCGTGCGACGAGTCGAGGCTGCTGGAAGACGACAGCCGCCCGGAAGAGGCGGGCGACGGGCCGAACACGTCGTCGAAATCGAACTCGTGGTCACTCGCCTGTTCAGCACCTCGCTGCGATGGCTGGGCCTCGGGTTTAGGCTTTGGCTGAGACTGCTGCGACTGTCGCTGCGACGGATGTTGCGGTTGCTGCTGCGGCTGCGACTGTGGCTGCGACTGCGGCTGCGGCTGCGGTTCCAGCACTGGTTTCTCCTGCGCTTGTGGTCTGGGAGCGTTGCGCCCCCACGCCACTTGCTGCTTCTTAACTGGCTGCGGGCCTATTGCCTGCGACCCTTCCTGCGATTCTGCCTGTCGCACAGCCTGTGCCCCTTGCGCTACTGCCTGGACTTGCGACGACTCCTGCGACTGCCGGCCCAAAGTGGGCCACTGCAATACCGCCTGCGGCCGCTGCTGCTGCGGCGGCATTTTCGGCTCGGACTTTTTCTGTGGCTGCGGCCTAAGCGCGTCGAGATGTGAGGGTGGGTGCGGGTCGGCGGCCTTGGGCGCGGCAGCAACTCCGGCTTGGCAGGACGAGCGGTGCAGCAGCGCGGACGCGTAACTCACGGCAGACCCGCGCGCGACGCCGGCCTGCCGCCGCGCTGGGCCCGGCACGTCCACCGGCTTCGTGACGATCATGGCGGCTGTGGGCCGACGGCGATTAGCTGATTGCGATGGGAGCTAGAAGAACGTTACAAGTCCCTACACGCAAGAGCAGAAGTGCGCTCTGATTGGCTGAATAATTAAGCGTCACATCACTTCAATCTTCCAAAAAGACACCGACTCGCATGAACCGGGCTGTGTGGACTTGACAATACTGACGTGATGTTGAAAGACAGGCAATAGAGGCTACTTTGGAGCGAAGTGAGGAAGGGGTGGAATATGACGAGAGTCAGTGCTTCAACTGTGGCTGTTGTTGCAGCTGTTGGTGTCTGAAGGAATGTGATGTGACTCTCTGGTCTGGCCGTTGCTGCCGCAAGGCCATGAAGGGGAGGGCGAGGGCGGTGGTGGTGGTTGGTGAGAGCGGGAGGATGGCGCTGGCAGCACGGAGCAACCTCAGCCGCAACGTCTTGGATCCGCATCGGCGGAGCTGGCAGGAATCGAAAAACAGTTGATCCAGCCAGCACAGGGAATCTCTCGAATCTCACCTCCCTCATCCGCCGCTCCGCCTCCAACATTTCCCGCTTCAAGCAGAAATCGTAAGCCGCCGGAATCAACCGTGAACCCAACCGATTCCAGTTGCCAGCGTGGCAATCAGGGTCCACATATCGTTGATCTAGGGGTAATTACATACGGGGTGGGTATTTCTGGAAACGTTTGTTTTCTACTCATAATTATTTTCATAAAGTGGTACTTAAGACAAATTCTCACACGCGACATCCAGATTAGTGTCGCGTTTCATGGATACAGGCAAAAAGTTTCGCCACGTGTCAGACATTTTGACGCAGCAGACAAAAAATAACCCCTAGGGACACGGACACATTTCGGGAAGCATCAACCCTAAACACGGGAATGGCCAGAGTTTAGGGTTGACGACCTGAAAGTGTTACAATTCGGAAGGGATCAACCCTAAACACGGGAACTGGCAAGGTGTTTAGGGTTGATGCATCGAAAGGAGTCCCTGGTGCCCTAGGGGTTTTAGTTTTGTTACACCCTGAAAAACCAACATTTGGTTCAGTCGCACGTAGATTTTGCAGACACATGAAATCTACACGAGCATGGACACGTGGCGAAAAAAATCGACCGTAGACATGAAACGTGACAATAATCTGGGTCTCGAAAAATGAGAATCAGCAGAAAGTCACACCAAATGGGTGAATTTGGGACTGGAAACAGCATTTTTATAAATGAAGCCCACACAGTATGTACTTACCCTTGATGTAGTGTAAGCATGAGTTTCATCGACGGCTGAATATTTCTGAGAGACTTTCGGGGCCTCCAAAACGGTTTTTGATCCACACGCGTCAGCAAGCGCTTAGCCGAGGCTTCCGAGGAACGATGCTGCAAAGTTGGAGGAGCAACCCTTGCCGCAAACGAAAAGCTCAAAGCGAAGTGCGCGTCAAAAAGCAGAACCGCCGCCAAAACGGCGTGCGCCGGAGACAAGTAAGCCACGTTTAGGTGTTCACTCTGGTGAAAGCCCAAAACCCCTATGGTGAACCTGATTTCGCCAGCCTTCGCCATGGGCATACTGAGACTCTAAGGCTTGCGAACCGGTCCGTCGCGAGGCCATGGCAGCCTTCGCCATGGGCATACTGAGACTCGAAGGCTTACGTGTCTCACTTTGACGGGTCCGCGAGTCCACACCGGCCTTTTCGCCCTTAGAGTTTGTTGCTCCCCAAATACCCTGGACTGGTCCGCCGGACCAGGTTGGACCAAAATGGCGAACCAGCTCCGGACGATGTGTTGCCAGGCCCGCTGATTTAAGAACGGTAACTTATATGGGCCTCAATAACGCGTACGATAACCATTACAATGATTTTTAACGCGTTTGGTAACTCGATTCACACGTTTGGTAACTATACACTGCCAAGCAATCACGCGAATGGTAAGTAGTAGAAACCCTCACCCAAAACGACCCTGATTATGGGTTTTCCCGCTCGCGCTAGACTAAATCGACGAATCCTGACGCACCAAGTTCTGACACACTTTCCGAAATTCAGGCAATTCACGCACAAGTAGCTGTGTCGAAAACATGTTTACACATTCAATTAGTATTCAAGCGCTTGATCGGAACATCGTTCTTGCCGACTTCTAACGCACAGCCAGAACATTGATTTTTTTTTTTATCTGCTTGTTTAATTAGGTTATGCTATATAATTGCACAACCATATAGTTGTTGTCGCAATAAGGAATAAGTTTATTATAATTTGTCAAAACATTTATATGTTTCTATGTTTTCTAGGTTGTGTAGGGTTTATCCCTAGAGGGTACAACCATTTTGCTCGACACTCTTGTACCCCCCTTCCTTACCTTATCGACCATCATTCTCTCTACTCTAGTCACCTAGACTAGTCGATATTCTAACATGGTATTACGAGCAGGTCCCATAGGACCTTTTTTTTTTTTTTTTTAAGGGCCCACCGTTAGCTTATATCCTGCCCGTTCATTCTGCCCCGCCTCGAGAAATCGCGACCGTCGGTTCACTTATGCCGCCCTGCCTAACGCGATTTCGTGGCCTAGCCTAGCGCGATTTGCGGCCTAGCCTAGCGCGACCCGTACACGCCCTACTCGCGCCACCTGCACGCACGCACGTGCCCCGCCCGCGCTGCCCGCTCGCACGCTGCCTGTAAGGCCCGCGCTCTGCTCTGCGCCCGGCCGGCGCCTTGCTCGTCCGTGCTGCTAAGAGCGCTACTGCTACTGCTGCCGCTGTGCAAGTGCTGCCAAACGCACTGCTGCCGCCTGCGCTGCTGCTAAGCACTGCGGCTGCTGCTGCTACCTGCTGCTGCCGCCAGAGCTACTGCTGCCACCTACGCTGCTGCTGCCGCCTGCGCTGCCGCTACTGCGCTGCTGCTGCTGCTGCTACCTGCTGCTACCGCCAGAGCTGCTGCTACCGCTTGCGCTGCTGCTGCCGCCTCTGCTGCTACTGCCGGCTGCTGCTAAGCGCTGCTGCTGCTGATACTACCTCCTGCTACCGCCAGAGCTACCGCTGCCGCCTGCGCTGCTGCTGCCACTGTGCTGCTGCTGCTGCACTGCTGCTGCCGCCTCAACTGCTGCTGCCGGCTGCTGCTGCTGCTGCTACCTACTGCTGCCGCCAGAGCTGCTGCTGCCACCAGCACTGCTGCTGCCACTGTGCTGCTGATTGCTGCAGCTGCTCCTCCTTGCTGTTGCTGCTGCTACTAGCTGCAGCTGCTCCTCCTTCCTGCTGCTGCAAGCGCTGCTGCCACTGCTGCTGCACCGCTGCTACGCCCTGCCCTGCCGAGCCGCGCCGCCCTGCCCGAGCCGCGCCGCCCTACCAGACCCGCACTGCCTTGCCCCTACTGTGCTACTGCTGCTGCTGCTACTGCTGCTGCTGTTGCTGCTACTGCTACTATGAGTACTGTCTCCGTTCTTAGTTTCGACGCTGAGGGCCGCGCGATCGACTTTGACATCTGGCTCGATGACCTCTGGCTGTTCCTGCAGAGCGAGGCGAAGGATGGAGTTCCCCTGTTAGCCCATACCGACGGAACCCTCCCCACCCTACCTGCCACAGAGACAGCTGCTCATACTCAGTGGATGATTCGTGATGCCACTGCCCGCCTTGGGGTTCGCAACCACCTTCCTGTCGCTGAACGAGCGCATTTTAGCCAGCAGAAAACAGCCCAGGCCCTCTATGACGCTGTCGTCGCTCGCTACTCCTCCCCGGTCACTGCTGCCGTAGGCCGTCTCATGTCGTCGTACCTGCATCCGGACCTAGCCGCCTTCACCACTGTCGCTGACCTCTTTACCCACCTCCGCACTAGTGAGGCTCGCTTCCGCTCCGCTCTCAAGCCGGACTTTCTCGCTAAGAACTCCCCCCCCCCCCGGAGTATTTCACCCTGTACCTCGTCGTCACTCGCCTCCCTGACTCCCTTCGCACTGTCCGGGACCAGTTCCTAGCCCTTGACCCCACTGAGCTCACGCTTGACTCGCTCGAAGTCCCTTCTCGAGGCAGAGAAGAGCACCAATGCTGTCGCTGCCTCTCGCGGCACTCCCCGCTCCCCCTTGTTTTGAAGGATGTTCTCCCTCCCCTCTCCTCCCCTCAGTTGCTACTGCTGCTACTGTCGACCTCCTTGGTGCTGAGGAGGCTGGCGATGCGTCTGCTCCTAGTGGAAGGCGCAACAACAGCAAGGGCAAAGGGGGCAAGGGTGGTGGGGGTGGCAACAGCGGTGGGGGTGGCTCTGGGGGTGGCGGCAGTGGCGGCGGACGTGGCAGTGGAGGCGGCGGGGGCGGTGGAGGCGGCGGGGGTGGTGGAGGAGGTCGGAGTGGGGCTGGCAAGGGTGGAGGTGGTGGCGGTCCCACCCGTGGCGGTGGAGGCTCTGGGGGTGGACAGCAGCTGCCGCGCCTCCCGGAGAACCCCACCCCGCAGCAGCTCCGTGAGTGGGTGGTCGGGAGTGGTGCCTCTGGGGGCTCTGGGCGCTGCCCGTATGTCCGGCGCACTGGGAAGCTAAAGGGTCAGCCTTGCGGGAAGCCGCACACTGAGTACCGCTGCTTCGGTCGTCTTGAGGATGCCTGGGTGGATGAGTACGGGACTGAGCTGGCTGTCCCCAACTGGTTGAAACTGTGGAGGATGGGAGTAGATATTTATGCTCTTGATTTTGTTCAGATCAACAAGGCTCTATATGCTATGTATGTGACTGAGTCTAGTGATGACGGTGCGTGTTACTCGTGTGTCCCTAGTGATGCTCCTGCTCTTGGTGATAGTGAGCCTGCTGCAGCTCTAGGTGCCAGTGTGTCTGCTGTCCCAGGTGCTAGTGAGTCCGCTGCCTCCGCTGAGGCCCTGCACACTTTCACACTTGACTCAGGCGCGTCTCGTTGTTTCTTTCGTGACGCCACCACACTCACACCACTAGCTGCCTCGGTTGCGGTCTCACTGGCTGACCCCACTGGGGGCCCAGTCGTCGCACGGTCCTCCACTGTCCTCCCGTGTCCAGCAGTCCCCTCCGGTTCTTTGTCAGGTCTCC